TGTAGGATTCAGTACAGACCATACAATAGAATGACTGTGATTTCAGCTTCATGCTCAGCAGTTTTCCTGACATCAGTAGTAGTGGATATAGTATAAAACAATTGTAACACTAATTGACTTCTGTGGACATTTATCTTTGGTTTAATGTTGGAAGTGTTTTTCCACATACTGTGTAAAATTAATCTTGAGCTGTATTCAAGGTTGTGAATATTAGACAGGGTAAAATTTTTAAGATAACGTTCTGATCTGTAATAAAGAACAAGTACTAACAAGTACTAAATGATTGTGCATTAACCCGAGTTCTATGCAATAGCGCCAATAAACATATTTTTCTTGATGCTATTGTGCAGTAGCCTGCACACTAGCATCACGTCACAGTTGTTGACAAGTAACACTACTGCTCAGGAGTACTGGGCTACTGCGCAGTCAGTGTCTCATGTAGACACAGCCACTGAATACTGAAAAATTAGGTGTTACATTAGGTTGAGGGCACAATACTTCTATATCAACATCAAAGCCTAGCTGGACATTATTCTTAAGATCATTCTTACTTTAAAAGTGCATTTTTATGCCTTCTAATTTTTTTTAATGTAAATTTTGAGCTTCTTAGCTGTTGCCCATGAATGCTGTTGGTTGCTTCTTTTTTCCCCCCCATTTTTAAATAAATCTTATTAATTTTTCAAAGAAAGTTAACCAACTGTCCTTATTACAGAACAATACACTTTTATTTGATTATTTTAAACCGACAGCCTTGCATAGTATAATAGAAATGGAAATATACTGTTGTTCATCCCAGTTGTAAAAACATGGTGACAGATTCCCCACTAATGTAAACTGTCATAGTTACAAAGTAGTGGAACTAAGACAGTTTATACCAGCTGAGAATCTGGCTCATATTCTTAAAGGGCCTGAATCAAAGAATTATGAAATCAACTGGAGTCTTTCCACTGCCTTCTATGAGCTTTTGACCAGGCCTACATGTGGGTAATACACTAAGTTAGTGATTCTCAAGCTGGGTATCACAGCACTCTGGGGTGCCTTGAGATCCCTTCAAGGATGCCATGGGGTGGTACATAATGATACTGATAACACTGTTAACACTATATGCGCAACCACGATTCACAAGATAAACTCAGATATTTCAAATAGAAGTTCATAGTGTTAAAAACATTCTGACCTGTGGTGGTCTTTCTGAGTTCCTTGCAACAGAAAAAATCGTTCTATTAGTTTTCTCTAGTCAAAAAATAACTGAAAAGTAAGAGCTAGCATTTTCTGAAAAGGTACCTTGAGTCGAACAAGGGGTGTCTTGAGTCTAAAAATTTTGAGAACTGCTAGATTATTTTACTTGCCTTTCTATCTTGTCATATTTAACTGGCTAATTCACCAAAGGAAGCTGTTCACCTTAAATGGCTGCTGACACATCACAGAAAATTCTGAATAAACACTCTACTTGGAGACAATTCTGCTGCTCTCCTAGGTTTGCTGATATGTAATTCCTTCCTTGAGATGTTTTTAAGAAAGCAGGCCTCATGCTGTACTTTTTATGCTGGTTAAACTCCCACTGTAAAATTATGCTTGCAACTTCTCCATGTCAGAGTATAAATTATTATTTTTTTTCTTGATGAATGGTCCTGTAGATAATTTATAAGTGCATCTAATGGTTTTCATCTTTCTCATCCCTATAATGTCTGCTAGGCAAAGTTAAAAAACCCCCACTAGCTTTCTGAGGTTATAACACACAAGTGAAGCCTACCTGAATGTCAGATTTTATCATATTTATATTGTATCTTCAGTAATATTTAAGCTGCCAGCAAAATTATTGATGCCCTAAGACTCCAAACTCTTTGACTTCCTTTCTAAGAAAAATGTGACACAAAGATAACCTTTACCACACTAGAAGGACTGGTGTTTCCTGCTTAGTCTGCCTTGCTCTTTTAAAAAGTACAAAGGCAGTACGTTTTGCAGCTGTAGTTTATAATTTATGTCTTAATGTTCATGAAAAAGACACATGAGTGTGAGTTGCCAGGGCATCTTACAAAATGAAAACCCAAGGGTTTACAGATAGATATGCTGAAGCAATGCATCACTCAAAGTATAAATGTCTCATTTTCATTTCAATGGAGTGTTAACAACAAAGTCTACTTGCGATGTATTCACAGCTTAGCAAACATAGTTGTCTATTCCATCTACCCGCCTATGTGGTAACTCATCACTAGACCTATTTTTGCTCAAGGCTGTGAAGAATCAGGCCCAGACCATTCTAAAACCTCCTAAACTCTCCTAGTGTTATAGAGTCAACAAGTATCAGATCATGTCTTTTATTAAACACCTAATATTATCTGGTAAATTTTGGCTAGTTTTGCCATTCTACATGCACAGAGCAGCCCTACTGTTAGTAGCTGGTTACTAACATATAGCAACTTGCAAAGAATGAAATTTGAAGATATGCAGAACCACTGTTTTGGCTTTGATGTAGCTCCCTTAAACCAGCAGGGACATCTTTGTGTCACCACATCCTAGAATAACCAGCATAAGAACCTCTAGCAGTGTGCAGATTAAAACAGCCTCAGTTAACTTATTTTACATGAAGGACTAGTGGCTGAGAATGGTTGAGGATGATGCAAAGATCTCAGCATTAGTCAACCACAACTGAGACACTAGCTCAAAATGTAGATTCTATTTTTCATTAAGAAAACAGAATATCTGTCTATATTCTGAAGATTTTGTTTGCTCTTTCCAATGAGAAGTCAGTAAGAAGAAAAAGGGTTCATTTGATACAAAATTACCTAGACACTACCATCTACTTCAACATTTTCTTATTCTCAAGAACTGTAGGGTGAACTCCAGAGATTTTTCCAGCAAGGCAGCTGGAACTCCTAAAATACTTTGTACTCTAGTGGATAGGAAAAGATAATTTAGTAAATCAAATCTCTAGTTCATTTTCTTACAGAAAACAATCTCAATATACTACAACATTCTACGCTCAAGGGTTAATACACACCAAAAAATGCTAAGTTTTTAATTACATTCCCTGGACAGTATCGGATAATTCTACATACAAATGGATTTCTGAAGATTTTTTTTATCATTCAAATTGCCCGCATAACATTTAACATTCTGTTAACTCGAGGTGCACCAATATATCAGTCCAATATCAGATTGGCACCGATATAAGGAAAATTGACTGTATTGGAAATTGCCCTGATGTGACCAATCATGAATGACCTGTGCCCCCAGCGGCTGGCGGGGGGCATGGCAGCAGCAGGAGTGTGGTGGCAGTGGTGAGCAGGGAGCTCCTGCAGACACCGCCAGCACTGTCAGCAGCAACGGGGGCCGGGGGTGGCAACTGCCGACCAGGGGTCAGTGACAACCCACAGGCACCACCGCCACCGTCATCAGTGGCCAGCGGGGATTGCTGACTGCCCGCAGATGCCACTGGTGGTGTCAGCAGGAGGGTGGCAAGTGGCAACTGCCTGCAGGCGCCCTATCTGCGGCGCCTTTTTGTAGGGGGTGCACTGCCATGCTCAGGAGGTGCACGTGCCGATAATTTGGCTGATAAATGTCTGTGCTTGTGCACAGCCACAGTGCAGCACATAGGTAGTGAGGAGCACAGCCTGGCAGCTTGGGACAGCTGCATGCAGCTGGTGAGTCTGTTGTGGTGGAAGCAGAGGGGGTAGGGAAGGGGCACGGGGGGGAAGATCAAGGTCCCTGTGGTGAGGGAGGGAATGGGACTGAGACTAGGCCAGGTGCTGCCTAGCTGTAGGTACAGCTTGTCCAGGGATCACAAGGGGGGAAGCTCCCATCACTGCACATGCCCCAGGATGGAAGGGGGGGCGCTGTGCCTCTGGATCTGTGTGGGGCATGGGCAGGGTGGGGTGCCACTGCAGGTTGGGGCTGGGGCTGCACTGGGCTCTTCCTGGTGTGTATGTGTGTGTGGGGCACATTGGGCCTTGGCTGTGCTCAGGGTGGACAACAGCGGCACTGGGATGGGGAACTGTGGGGGGGCTACAGTGAACTTTGGGGTGGCTGTAACCCCCCTCCCAGCACTGCTACCACCTGCCCCAAGCACAGCCTGGCCCAGTCCCGCTGGGAAGAGCCCAATGCAGCCCCAGCATGCAGCTGCAGCCCACCCCACACAGATCTGAAGGCATGCCACCCCGTGCCATCTCGGGGTGCACGCATCAACAGAAGCCACCCCCCCACACCCTACAGACAAGCTGCAGCTCTGTCCCGTGACCTGCTCCGCCTCAGCTGGGCAGCACCTGCCCCAGCCCAACTCCTCCCTCACTGCAGGGACCTTGATCTGCCCCCCAAGCCCCTTCCCTCCTCCCTCCCCTTCCATCACAACAGACTTAACAGCTGGACACAGCTCTTCAAGCTGTAGGGCTATATATCAGAAATCAGATCACTATCGGCCAATATGCCTCCTTAAAAAATCGGCTATCAGTATCGGCCCCCAAAATCTCTATCACTACACCCCTATTGTTAACTGTTTAACATTCTTAATAATATTTCATTTAATTTTCAGTTTTAATAATATCTTTTCATGATGTGAAAGTCATTAAATATTTTGTGCACGCGTGTATACATAAACACACACACACACACACACACACACAGAGGCTTGGAAAACTGATTGTAAAATATTAAAAGCATTTATGTTATTTCCATAGAGACCATAAAACTAAATGGAAAAAAAATATTCAGAAGACATACAAGCACTTAGAAAGCAAAAAGAAATGAGGCAAGCAAATAACTCAGAAATAATGTTTCCAATAGGTAGAAGAAATGACTGAAATGCTATTTCAAAAGCAGTTAAGGGGAAACTTAACAGTAATACAAAGCAAAACATAATGTAAAAAAAATTCAGCTAATAATTATAGTGGATCACTGTAATCTGAATATTAAAGTGAATGTAATATAATCATACATAAGTATATACCTTACTCACTGGGAATGTACATATTTTATTTGAAAGAGAGGGCAGTTTGCTACCTTACCTGACTGCTGCATCCATATAATGTATGTAGTAAACAAGTACAGAAAGTTCTGAAGCTTCCATTTCCAATGATAACACCACATTTCATTCGCATGGGACATCCTGCGAATAAAGAAGGCAATAATTTAGGGAAATTTTAAACAGCTAAAACATTAAGCTATTTCTATTATTAAATGACTAGCTGAATTAAATGGAATTGCCTAGTCTTGCTTTTAAAGAGAAGTATCAGTGTTCTTTATGTGGAGTTTAAGACAATGAGTTGGGGGTGTCTGCCCCATGAGAGGCAGACAAGCTACAAGTCCGATCGCGATTGACTCCATGAGGCATGGCTGGGGTGGTTGATGAGATTTTGTAGCCCTTATTTTAAATGTGGGCTACAGTGTTGAGTTTAAGAGGTATGTGGTCAGGACTGTGGCTGTAAGATTCTGGGCAGGAACACAGGACAGAGTTAAGGTTCTTTTTGGATTCTTCAGTGTGATATTTTGCCATGTGTACATGGGTTATAGATGCTCTGAATGGGTGTAATATTTGATTATTTACTTATCTTCCTTTAACTGTTTTTTTTCCCCCATGTATTTATGCTAATGTATAAATAGCTGCATCCTTGGTACATTTATTGCATCCTTGGTATATTAATTGAATGGTAACTGACAGCTCTAATTGAAAAGTAACTTTTTCTGTGCATCAAAATCAGGAGCCCAATCCTTCTATAACTAAAGTCAATAAGATTCTTTCTATTTAATAGAATAAAAAAAAATCAATACTTTTGCCATTTTTATTCACATTTTGCAGATAAAATCTCCTTTGCTTTCAAAATGCTTATGACAATTATCAGGTTAATCTAAACTATTCTAGCTTTAAGTATAGTGGAAGGAAATAGAGCAAGAAAAAAATAGGGTTGAAAAGTAACATACTTACAACTTTAACTATGATTCATAATCATGGAACTAAAATGAACGGTGACCTACTACATTGCTTTCTCATGTTTGTGCAACAACTTATTAACAACCAACAGCAAAGAACAAATAGTGAAATACAGCTCAAACGTTATATTGACCAATTCTTTCCTATCCTATTCTCTGGCATTAGCCCATATCCAGTGACAAATTGTCTACTTGCATTGGAAACAAAAGGAAGATAGAACTGCAAGAACAAGGAACTAAGAGTCATGAAAAAATGTCATTACACAGAAATGTCTGTCAGAGTAGCAACCTGATTTGCTTTCATAACAAATTTTAAAACTCAAATAGAGATTATCTTCATGCAACAGAGAGACAGAAAGGAATAACAGAGTCAAGCAGAGTCAACCTTCAGTGCCATTTCTTAGGATGCAAATATGAAGAAGATGAGTGAAAGTAAACAATAAAACAGTTCATCCACACATCATAAAAATGTCACTTGTTTAAGCTGAGAAATTTGTTCACTCTATACTATTCCTCTGAAACTCCTAGAGAAAGGTGGGGATAAATCTGAAACTTTACATACTACTAGATCCTACTAGTTCCTAAAGTACTACATTTAAACACAGTGGGCACATCTATAAATGTGTTTTAATGCACATCAGCTTGTTTTAATGCACATTAAAGTGTCACAAAAATACGCTTTAACTAATGCACATTAAAATAGGCACCTTTTTCTCATTCCTCACAATGGAGGGCATTTTTACACATGCTCTGTGGGGGGCAGCGCTTTAATTAAAACAGCTCTGAGAGTCGCTTTAAAGCACTGCCACATCTTGTGTATTAGCATGCCCGCACTTATAAATGGGGGGGGGGGGGGGG